AATTTTCTATCATTGTAATCATGGATTTGTAGCCTCCGGAATTGTGAGAAAATAAATATCTGTTGTTTAAGCCACCCCAGCTGTCATATTTTGTTACAGCAGCTTAGCAGAGTAACACATACAGATTAAATCCACCTTCCTCTGGAAATGGTGTCTCCATATCCACTCTTCAATTAGGTGCTTTCATTCTTTCACCTGGACTTCTTCAGTCACTTCCTAAACAGTCTGCCTGTCTTTGTACCACCCTTCTTCAATATTTGCTTTGGAAGAGTTCTGTTTAAATGCAATGATTATAACATGTGCTCTTGCTTTGAAGTAAAAAAAAAAAAGCACTAATTAAAATTAGTTGAACTTGAGAATGGCCCTGTAAATATTTTGTTTCTTGTCATCTGTATCCACATTACCAGGTGCTAGCAAAATCCCATTAGCTTTGACTTTGTCCCCTTGCTGGGCCTCCATGCCCGGTTTTGGTAAGAATCCTGCTGGGTCAGCTCAGAGAGAATCCCCACCCTTGATATCTGGCCACCTTCAATGCTGGCAAATTCCTCATTCTCGACCCTCAGTAGCTGGTAACCCTAGCCTGCCTTCAGCAAAGCTCCTGTTGAGTAGGTTTAGCAGGAAGCCCCTCCCCTGATATGTCCTCTTACCCCCCGATATGTCCATCCACTGACCGCCACATTGTTGGCTATAACTCCCCCACTTTTTCTTGCTGAATTCAAAAGTAAGCCCAATTCTACACTGCATTCTCTTTTTCATACTGCAGTAGTTCCTTATACAATCTGTTTTTATGGCTTTAACTACTGTCCTCCTCCTGTTTTCTTTAACATCTCCTTGAAACCAAACTCTTCCATGCCTCTGTGCTTTTACTCCCACAAACCTTCTGATTTCTTCCAGGCTACACATCAAAAAGTCTTATGCTCTCTCTATGGGCCCATTCAAGTCATACTGCTTGTTGAAGTCTTCAAAGTAGAAATTATTATTTATTTCCCTTTGGTGCTTCTAATGTACTTTGTATATACATCTATTATTACTTGGTCAACTTAACTATCATTTTATCTTTTGTTTACATGATTCTCTCTGACCAATAAACTCAAAGCCCTTTATCTTATTATTTATTTTGTTTTTACTCAAGGTGCTGTTATGCTATCAGGTGATTAGAAGGTAATTATATACTTATTAATCAAAAGTTTATTAATGCTAACATAGAAGTCAGTGTAAGGACATTAATAGGAGTAAATAAGGTCAAAACAACAACATCCCCTCACCTGTCCCCCCAAATTACCTTTTGAATATAGCACAATCCATTTAAGTCTATGTGAATTACAGTTAACCTCATTATAATCAGAGCCAAATGGATAAAGTCCACGCATTCTAACCGTCTGTTATGAGTTTATTTATAAAGTTCCCAGAGTCTCCAACATGTCTACAAGGAGTAGCCACATTCTCTAATCTTTTCTTAGTTTAGTAAGGAAATGTGGTTGGTGGTAGATCAATATGGAAAGCAGAGGAACTGCAATGTCTTTGAGTAATGAAATACTTAAACTACACTCCAGTTGGCTGCTGAAAGCCCTCCTATTTTCCTTGGAGTCATTTCAATTTGCTGGGAAGAGGAACTCAGCTGTTCTCCATTGCTCATGCCACTTCAACCAGTTAGATCAAAGGGGAACGTATACCATCCATCAGAGCAACACGAGTAACTCTGGCCCAGTGCTGTCCCAGCCAGCTGGCTACCTTGCCATTATGTAAGTGCATTTTCACTTGATGCAGCTTTTGCATCTCAGAAATGTGAAAATTTGATAAGACAATGTTGTTTTTTTTGCTTTTAAGCTTTCTTATCAGTAAATTATCACAAGCCTTATCACTTAATAATTGCTAGAATGAGTCAATATGTTTCATATTTTTAAAAGATCTTCACTTAAGGTAGCTGGAAACTGGAAGTATAGGAGGTAAAAGACCCAATCCTTGTGCTATTATAGCCATGAAATGAGGGCATTAGTCTAAATTAGCATTTCTCAAAATATTACATTAAATAGCATCATAGACACATCTGTGATTGGGAAAAGCACTAGATTAGATACAGTTAAGGAGGCCTGATTCTGAACTGCAGGACTTCCCCGGATCTTTTCTGAGTAAACTGACAAGGGGGCAGTGCCTTGTAGCCATTCTCGTCTGTCTTACGTGGAATGGACATCAGAATTAAGGGCATTTTGTGAACCAACCAACATATAAGGAGGTGTTTTAAACTAACAGAAGGACTTACACAACTATAATATTTAAGACTATGCATTTAAAAAAGTTATGCACCCTGACTCACTTCCTGAATATTGGGTTTTAAAAGAACTTCAGACTCATCTATAATAAAGGAGAAACTCCTTTCTCTGCTGATAGTAGGATTTTTCATTCTAATTTTTTGCTGTTCAATATACAGAAACAACTAAACTTTGTTTTTGTATTTCTTAAATTGCATAATTCTTTTGGAAAATATATAAACCTCAGAAGCTGAATCTAACTTAGACAATTATTTCAGGTGCAACACATCAGTAGTTGATCTATTTTTAAAATTAGTACCATTGTTACTTTGATATTCTCTTTCCCTTGGCTGAACACATCTAATACAGTAGATAAGAAACTTTGAAATGTCTTTTTTCTATGTTAAGTGTTTATATTTTCATAGGCCTAGCATCTGTTTAATTAATTTTAAGACAGTGGACCTGGAGGGCTGGTTAGAGCTCACATTGCTGGGCCCCACCCACAGCTTGGAACTCCTTAGGCCTCAGATGCAGCAGAGTTTGCAGGCCTAACCGGGTGATGCTAACACTGCAGGTCCAGGTAGCACACTTAAGAATCACTACTTGCATAGATTCCGATTTATGAGCGCGTGGCTGGGTCTCTCTGTGGGCTGAGGTTCCTCAGTCAGGCCCCCATCAGGAACCTTACAGGAGCAAAGGGAGCTGGCTATCTCCACTGTCTCAAAAATAAGTCACCTTTGTATTAATTCCTAGGTTCTGCCACAATAGTCTCATTTCCCAAAAACTAACAAAATATTCCCGTCCTTCAATGTTTTCCACTATCAGCTAACAATGTGTGGGTCATTAGATTACACAGGTGGTCCACACTTTGGATTTCTTTCTCTTTAGTCACTGCCTTTTATTTGCCCACATAACTCAGTCCCTCTCTTACACAGCATGTTTTCAGGACCATGGCTCTTTCCCAGCAGCATCTGCCTCTCCACCAAATGGGTCGGCACTGCTAGCCCGATCCGTATGAAATGGAGCCTGTACTCGCTCCTGAGTGCATTCACTGCACAGACATTTGTTAAAGGCTTGGCATATATTGACTATGACAAAAATTCTGCATTCATGGGATTGCATTGTCATGAGGGAGATATAAAATACACATGGAAATAAGTAAGTATGGTATGTTCAAGAAGTGATGTGTAAATTGGAGAAAACAATATAAGGTAATGGCCAAGAAAGTGACTGGAAATGAAATGTGTTTTAGCTACCCTGGAAACATCTCTCTGAGGAAGTAACATGAAGCTGCAACAGAACTGTTGTGATGGAGGCAGCAATGCAATGAATGTAGAAAAGGGCATTCCAGGCAGAGAAAGCATCAGTTCCAAAACAGAAAGAAGTCCAGGATGGCTGAAGTCAGTGAAGGAGTCAGGGAGGGAAAGGGCTGAAGAGGAATTCGGGGGTGGGGTGGCAAAAGTTTTCATAAGGCATTTATAACCACATGTTCCTCTCTCTCTCTCTCTCTCTCTCTCTCTCTCTCTCTCTCTCTCTCTCTCTCACACACACACACACACACACCTGGCATACAGCCTAGAAGACTGGTATGAGGCTCAACACAGTTCCTTTGACCAACAGGAGTTAAAATATCAGAAGAATTTTTTAAAATCCTCACCTGAGGATATGTTTATTGATTTGAGAGACAGAGAGATGTGACAAATACTGATTGGTTGTCTCTCCTATGCACCCCAACTGGGGATTGAACCCGCAACCCAGGTATGTGCCCTGACCAGGAACAGAACCTTCAACCTTTGGGTGTATGACACGCCATGGGATGACACTCCAACCAACTGAGCCACCTGGCCAGTGCCAGCAGCATTTGATAGAGGAGAAACTGCAGAGCAATATCAGAATTCACTGTTTAGCCTTTGGAGCTGGCTGTACTACAATGCACAAGAAATCGTACACAGCTCTTATTTCGAATCTGGATACATTAAATCATACATAACCTTTCCCCCTTTTTATAAAGGCTGAGTTAAGGGACCACTCTCAGTATTGATACATAGTAGTGCTAGGATGGGTACAGCTTTCCTACTCAATCAAGTCAAAATTCTGAGTGAAGAGGGAGCAAAATTATGTCAGAAGTGTGTCTTACAGCATTACTTTACACAGACAACATTCACTAATAGCAGTGATTCTAACAAAATTGACAAAATAATTTCCAGCAAAATAATAACTACTGTATGAAACACACACACAGAAACACACACCTACCTTCAGGCAATTTGAAATAATTATGAATCAGAAATTAGCCTAAAGTGAGAGTTATATGCTTTCAACAAACCCCACAAGAAAAGCATCGAGCGTACTGTACTGTACCTGATAATTTAAATTATGTTTCAATCTTTACATCATTAGCCTGCAGGTACATCTGAGGGTATCCAAATTGAAAGGAATTTATCAGCCAGAGTTCTTTTCAAGTAAAGAACATAAATCTGGTTTATAATTTTGCTTTCCATATATCAAATCTTGCTCCCAATTAACCTAAAATTAAATATTCTCACCAGCAATGCCATTTTTTTTTAGTATATAGAGTTTTAAGAGTCTTGAAGTCTTGAAGCAAAATCACCTTAGTGTTTTGCAAATGTTCCAAAATAATTATTGTATCAAAATAAAGTCCCTTTCATTTGTACTGTAAAACTCCTAGGACCTCATTTATGAAATTGCTCGATACGCCCCTCATTATCATATATATGCTGATGCCATTACCTGTCTGCATCGACTGTCACGTCGTGAACCCCTCTCTGAACGGTGTCCCTGGAAGTCACTGTGTCTGGCATTCGGTTCAGACTTCTCGTATACAGGTTGAGTCCTCCATCTGTCATGTACCTGAAAATAAACATACGATCAATCAGCAGAAAATTAAATGGCATCATCTGTGTAATTGCACTTAATAAGCAAATCATGTTCACATTTTTCAATAATTATGCAAATATCCTCTATTATAGTTTCTTCTACATAAACATTATACTCACCAGGAAAAATCAGAATATGTTCGTTTATTAGAAAATCAATCTTCCTCACTACAACAAGTAACTAGAGCCAATTACAAAACCTTCTGTTTTCCCCCTTTTGTCATCAATATTTTGAACATGCTTGTAAATCACATAGCTCTTAGCAAACTATAGTAAGATCATGTCATTTTTGAAGCACTGATGGCCAAGGGGTATGAACATTAGTAGAACTAAGATTAATTGATTTGATAAGTAGAAAATAGGCTACAATTGGCCACTATCATAAAATAGTAACCAAGATGCATTAAGTATTTAATATGTTGCCAGGAACTTCTCAAATAGTTTACATGTAATAACATTATTATCTCCACATTAGAGATAAAAATAGTATGCACAAAAAGGTTAAGGATTTATACAAGGTCACTCAACCAGTCCTGGCAGAATTGAGAAATGGATCTAAAAAGTTTGCTCCAGAAACTGTGATCTTAGCCATGTATTGCTATCTGAACTGAAGGGCCACACTATCTGCCCCACTTCCTGTCTCTGAGGTCGAGGTCCCTCCTGTCACAGGACCTCCACCAGCACCCGGTCTGGCACAGCCTCAGCCAGCTTGCTGTTACGTAATCCTGCTTGACCAAGGAGGATTAAAACAGGGTGTTTAATCTCACCCCACCTGCTAGGCCAGTTGAATTTTTTTTTCTTGACAACTGGGATAAAGACTCAATCTATGTGAATAGAGTTAATAACAATGAAAACCCAGAAGTTGTGGGTATTTGTCTCCACTAGATGCAAAGAGTCTCAGAGAAAGCTTGTCAGCAAAGTAAAAAGAATGATGCAGGTGCACCCGAAAAAGCAGACAAGCTTGCCCACGTGGTTTCAGCCTCACAGCTCGCCCTTTGGCTCTAGGAGATATCCTTGCTTCTTGATAATCATTGCCCATTTTGTTTAAATTCGAGTTGATTTCACTTTTCAGTATCAAAAAATTTAATCACAATCATACTGAACATTCACCAAATTGCTATACTAGGATTATGAAATTGGCTTATTATCTACATGATTAGTATATTCTGTAATACTCGTTGAAGGATCTTGAATAAGTCTCATAAACTGTGTATCCATTTTTTCCTCTGAAAATGGGAAGAATAAAAGCTCCAGCAGGTAGGTTTGGTGATGATTAAAGAAGAAATACATATGCGAGCCCTCTAGATTACCTTATTCCCAATCTTTCCTGTACATTTTGAAAAGAAAACATGAATTTTATATACAAAACAATAACACTAAGTCATAATGCATTATCCTTACAAGGCATTCTACATGGTTAATTTTCCTGATAAGTGAAGAATTTATTTCCACCAAAATTAAAAAGCAAAAAGGGGACTTTGGCTCCAAAGTGCATAGAACATTGACATACTCTTTTAAACAGAGAGTACTAGATGAGATTTAACTTTTCTTGATCATGAATTCCTGATTATGAGCACCACTCCCTGTACTCTGTTGAGTGATACAAAATGGTACAATTAAAGAGTAAAGGGATAGTTGACCTTCTCAACGTGGTTATTGCCTCTTCTCTTAAGGTGGAGTATATGGAATTTCTGATAAAGTAAAAGTGTTTAGTAGCAAATATTTTTCTCATTCACTCTCTTTTTAAAATTGTGTTTTAAAAAGGTGAGGATCAGAGCAAATCTTTAGCAATCTTTCTCCAGAAAATGAGATTTTTTTTTTAAGCTATCAATGTACTTAATCCTAAACTTAACCTCTGGAGGAAGTTGTAACATTACATGTTATGTTTTACATCTTATAGGTCTGTTAGTCATCTGTGTATCTCCAAAAATGTTCAGTAAAGTGCTTTGTATATTGTTTGGGCTCAACAAATATATTAAATGTTTGTTCAGCTGAATTTTAAAGGCTTCCACTTTGTAGGAAGGAACCATCACATCTGGTCTCAGCAAGTTTACCCTGTAATCGTGATGCATGTGAAAGGAAGTAAGATAAAAGACCATTTCTATTAGAAACATAACATTTCAATTATTCAATATTTAGAGAAAAGCTAAGTTCTATAGAAAAAGATTAACTGCTTTAAAACTAATTTTCAAAATTAAAAAAATATATAAAACTTCCAATTAGAAAAAAAAACTATTTTTTCAGGAAGCCTTTCAAAGGACATTTATTTCTCTTTGGCCCCTCCGATTTTCCAGTTAACATCAAATAGGTTTAGGACAGGTATTAATTGAACCCCCAAAAAGTCAGTGTATAAATTCCTCTGTTTACATGTACTCTGTCATTTGAATGTTGGTGTGGCATTTTCACAATAGAACCATGAGTTTGTTATTTGAAAAATTAAAACAGGCATCACATGAGTAAATAAATTTCCAATTTAAATTTTTCTTGGTAATTTCTTCTTCTTTTCATTCTTTCCAGAGGATTTAAAAATCTAAAAGAACATAAATTTCATTGTTCCCCTAGAAAAATTATGCTATAATCTGGGAGCTATAAATGTTAGGGAATCATTTTGAAAGAATAATGGAAAATTTAAGAAGTATTTTTTAACAATGTTATATCTTAACTTCAAAACTATCAGCTAAGATAAGTTTAAGAAGAAGTAATAGTTATAAGGAAGACTGGTACAAAGAAATGTTTTAAAGGAAACTTGTGAAAGTTAAAGACAAAATTAAATTCTCTCAGCCCTGGCTGGTGTGGCTTGGTGGATTGAGCACTAGCCTGAGAACTGAAAGATTGCTGGTTTGATTCCCAGTTAGAGCACATGCCTGGGTTTGGGGCCAGGTCCCCACTTGGGGGTGTGTGAGAGGCAACTGCAGATGTATCTCTCACATATTGATGTTTCCCTCCCTCCCTTTTCCTCTCTCTAAAAGTAAATAAATAAAATCTTTAAAAAGATTTCTCTCCAACTATGAAAGTCTTAGGCTAATTTTTGCCATGTTCAAATTCTATAAGCTATAAAATGATTCACATTAAAAACCCCAATAGTCTCACAAAGCATTTCCAATCCTCCTCCCTTCCACTGTCAACTCTCTTTTTCTTCTGCATAGACAAACCTGACATACTTAAGGCATATTTCCTTTAGGTGCCTGTTTCCAAATCAGTACTTCCAGGCCCTATGGAGCCACCCTGTTCCAGAATGAGATATTCAACTGCTTCTTATGCATAAATGTGAGGATTTCCCACAGGCCTATCAACAATAGCATAAACTCTTCTTGTCAGTCACCACCCCTACGTGTTACAAGATGGCATCTGTTCAAATCTGTGAATCTGCATAACTATGCTCTAGTTTTGTCTGAAATCAGTGAAACGGGAAAAAAAGATATCAACATAAAGATATATAATGCTACCATCACAGCTACTCCATGCTTCCTAAAGAAAGATTTACAGAGAAATATGTTTATGCACATATGTTTAAATAATAAAAATATCAATTTTCACATGTCTATTACCTGGTATCCAAAACAGAACATTTTCTACTTCTTCAATGCCCATATAGGCTCCTTCCAATAATATCCCCAAATCTCCCTTCCACAGAAATCCACTGTGCTGGGCTTTGTGTTAAGGATTCCTTTACTTTTCTTTATAGTTTTACCACATGGGCATGGATCCTTAAATATCTATACATTGCTTAGCATCTGTTGGATTTGAACTTTAAATAAATTGAATCGTAATATATGTATTTTTGTGACTACTTTCCTTCACTCAAAATTACATTTTTGCAAATTATCTATTTTGATGTACTATTCATTTTACAGGCATGCAGCTCTGTTTTACCAATGCACTCCATAATATGGACATTTGAGCTGTCTTTCCTCCTCTGCTGTTACAACGATGCTGCCCTGAACATCTGCGCTCACACGTTACAGGCTGGCGCTTATCTGAAGTCTGTAGCTACGAAGAGACTCACCAGGTCCTAAGAGACACATGCAGGTGCTAAGTTGTACTAGTCACTGATAAATAGTTCTCAAACTAGTTTCAGAGTAAACTCCTGGTTGCCAATGGATGAAAATTCTCAAGTTCCATCCAGATTACCAAGCAGGTAAATAATAGTTTTACTTTGTAATGGGCCATTTTTGTTTTATCTTTGAAATGTCTGTTTATGCCTTTTGCTCATCTTACTATTAGATTCTATGCTTTGTTTTGTTTGTTTGTTTTTTCTTTCCTCACTGATACTAATCCATTATTAGTTATATGTGTTGCATATGAGGTTTCATACAGATATTTTCTCTTGGTTATTTTTACATGAAATTAATTTTTCTAAATAAAATAAATTTGGTTTAAAAACCTGATTTTACACAGTAAAGGCCTCTATTATTTTTGTGTAGCATTTAAAAATATGGCAATTAGCTTTTGACATTTTTGACTCTGTTCCCATCTCCCAGTTCTATGCCGACTGCCTTTTTGCCTTATGCCGTGTTCTGTTCAGTTTGGGACACTGCCCTGAAAGGGAGCTGCAGATGGGCAGTTTAATAAATTCATAGGAGCGAGATTGCTCCATTCCCTCAGACAAGATCTTCAACCCGTACTGTTCCCAGCTGGTCACGTGGTCAAAACCCCTCTGAGCTTCAGCGGCTGTCTTTAGATCTAAAGCCCTGTGTGCTTTCTCCTCAGTTTCTCTTGGCTGTTCTTGGGTTCTCCTGTTTTCAGCATTATCAGATGCCCCACTGCTACCCTCTATAACTTCTCACAAACATGCCGAGACCATGCTGGTCCTTTGGCCCATGGCTGTTTGTCCCTAATTGCTTATACGTTGGTTTTGAAATGATACCTTGTCGTCATCTTTTTGTGTTTGTGTAAAGAGTAATCATGATTTTTTCGTTTTGTTATCCAGTTGCTTTGTCTGTTTTTGTGAGGATCTGGGAAGATTCCAAACCT